GCTTTCTGTGTGAAGGAGAAAGCCGGTTCTGAAATGCTTCTTGTTTCGAGCGGTACACATAGTACCTGCAAAAGGGTGTAGGGTTTAGGGTTATAGGGTTTGGGGTTTAGGGGGTCAGGGTTGGCTTGCATTTCCTTGAACTTTTGGGTTCTTGAATGTTCTTGATATACCGCCCCGTGACATATTTCGGGGGCCAGGGGCGGCAGGTGAAGACATTAAATCCTAAACCCTAAACCACAAACTTTGAACCTAAGCCCTTTATAAGCCCTATATACTCTTTGAGGACACCTTCTTCCCCGGAAGCCGTCAACCTTACAGGCAATATCATGCTAAAGATGTTTAGGGTCTAGGGATATATGCGAAGTGCTGGATCCTTGTGCCCTTCTGAAACCCCTCAACTCCAAACCCGCCTAAACCTTAAACCCCAGACCCCGAAACCTCAAAACCCCTAAACCGTAAACCCCGAAACCCTAAACCCAAGCCCCAAAACCCCTAAACCCCAAAACCCTAAACCCCTAAACCCTAAACTCCGAAACCCTAAACCCAAACCCCAAAACCCCAAAACCCCTAAACCCCTAAACCCCTAAACCCCAAAACCCTGAGCCCTGCAGAACCCTGGTCTTTAGGCTTTCGGACCTGGGTTCAGGCTCCCAGTGATGCAGCTTTGGGATTAGGGTTTAGGGTTCAGGGTTTTGGGATTAGGGTTTAGGGTTTTGGGATTAGGGTTTAGGGTTTTGGGATGTCGGTGATGCCGAAGTCTCGGCTTCACGTCTTAGAGGGGCTTGGGCTTCAACCCTAAACCCTACCGGGACCCTGAAGAACCTACCGTTCTATTCTAGGGCTCCTTATGATGATTTCCTTGTAAACGTCCTTTAAAAGGTAGGTTATTTGGGGTTAAGGTAATCTCTAAACCGGAGTTTCAGGCTTGTTGCCCGATTTTCGATTCTACTCCCTGCGGATTAGCTGGGACTCGCTTATGTAAGGGTCCATGTACCCAAATAGCATATACTTTGGCCTTAAAGTAATCCCTATATTCGTACGTTGTGGCCCAAGTATATACCACTTGGGCACATGGACCCTTAGGGGAATGGCGAAACCCTAAGCCCTAAACTGCAGAAACTCTAAAGGTATATATGAGTACATGGACCCTTGGGGTTATGAAGTATGAGAAAAGCCGGAGACTCCGCACCATGCAGGCGATTACGTCGGACCATTCTCGCAGAGCATACGAAAGGGGCCTGAATAATTACCTATACTATTTGGTGGTTCCTGATTATAACCCTAAGGGTCCAAGTACCTAATAATCATATGCTCTCCCAAATAGTAACCTACATAACTACTATCCGAAACCTAAGTACCTGGTTATTCGGTCCTTTGGACCCTTAGGGTAATTATGGTATATTCTACCCCGAAACCCTATTCTGATAATTAAGGCCCCTACATTAGCATCCGACGAGCAGTTAATGACTATGCTGCCGGCCGAAGATCATGCCCAGTTTGGTATGCTCGGGAGAAAAGCTCAAGATCTGTCTTGAGGAAGCTCTGAGGAAACGCGTGGACCCTGATCAGCAAAATCTGATGATGGAGCTCGATTCCGTTTAGTTGATGGCCAAGCACGTGCTATTTTGGATACATGAATCCCTTAGCCGACCAGCCTTGGACGTCGTATGCTATGATGGTTGCGCAAGCTGCTACTCACTGCCCCTATACGGCTCCATGCGCCCAAATAGTATGCATGTGGGCCTAAAGTACTTATGTTGGGACTACCTCCTTTAAGGCCAAACATCTATAACATATGAGTACATGGACCCGTAAAGGGTGTGGGTTCAGTCTGGCACCGGGCTCACGCCCGAGCGTGGCCCCATCTGAGCCTTGGGCATTTGAACCGGAAGACGACGAAGAAGTGCATGGCTGCGTTCTTCGGATTCTTATGAGGTTTTACTTAGGGGGTGTATTTTAGTTTTCTAGACCCTGAAGCGTACACCCTAAACCCTAAACCCTAAACCCTAAACCCTAAACCCTAAACCCTAAACCAGACCTGCATGGAGCGCGAGCACTTCCCAGGAGCTTCAGCAACGAGCGGGCGCAGAATTCCATCATGCTGCTGGGTGCCCGGACTTCTCCGCCTTTCCAAAGACAGTAGACACACCCTAAACCCTAAACCCTAAACCCTAAACCCTAAACCCTAGGGGCCTTACCAGGACCTTGGGGTTCTGGTTTTAGGGTTTTGGGGGTCTAGGGTTTAAGGTTTTTGGGGTTTTAGGGTTTTGGGGTTTGGGGGTCGAGGGCCCCAATGATGATCCTTAACAGTGTGTATTTAGGGCACTTTGGAGGGTAGTTTGGGTAGTTTTGCGGTATATACAGTATTAAACTAAGTTTTCATTATCCTGGGAGGATTAGGAGATGTTATTACACTGACGGGCCATGTACCCAGCACTAGATGCATTGATTCGCATCGATTGGTCCTACAGGCCAAGTTACAAGTTATAGATCCGTGAATCTTAGTGGCTTGGTTTGGCGGCAGTGAATCGTAAGATCAAGTCTTCCGCTGACCACCTCCCAGTTAGGGTTTACGGCTTTAGGGCTTGGGGTTTGGGGTTTGTGCATAAGTTTGTTCCGGGGGCCGTATCGCGAATTAATAACGATAAGACGTTAATCAGCCTAGCGCAGGCATATGCGTCATTCAGGAATAGGAACTTAGACAAACTAGGACAGGCATGTAGTGTTGTCATTGCTCTCATCTCCGGTAGAGCGTCACAAGGACCGGCAGGGCAGGTTCATGCCACATGACGCACCTAATTTACCAACGGCTTATGTGCTTCGGCCCCCCAATCCGACGGTTTAGCTTTCCCAGAATCTTGGAAAATCCTAAACCCTAAATCCTAAACCCCTAAACCCTAAACCCCGAACCCCAAACCCCTAGACCCTAAACCCTAAACCCTAAACCCTAAACCCTAAACCCTAAAACCAGACACCCTGAGACGCCTACTGTCGAGTTGGGCTTTATGAGGACGACCGAACATGTGCTTAGGGTTTAGGGTTTAGGGTTTTGAGTTTAGGGTTTAGGGTTTATTTCATGTGCTCACATAAACTTGCAACCATGACCCTACCATGATACCGCCAGTGGAGAAAATCCTTCAGATCCATAGAAAAACCCTAAACCCTAAACCCTAAACCCTAAACCGTAACTCCATCAGCTCGGGGTATGTGAGGTAGTGCAGGAAGTTGTCTATCAAGTAAACCCCGAACCCCCGAAACCTCCTTTTTTGTGTCGGTTACCTACAAACTCCAAACTGGGGCTTAGAATTAGAACCTTCAAAGAGAAGGTCATTGTAGTTAAGGGTAGGGACCCTAAACCCTAAACCCTAAACCCTAAACCGAGGGATGTGGTGCCGAAAGACCTCGTGAATGCTCCAGAACAACATAGAAGAACACATACGGTTGATGGACAAAATCCTGCATGACCTTATATACCTAAACTATGGGATTTATGGTACTATACTATATTCGGGTCATGCAGAATTTTGTCCATCAGCAGTACCTTAACCTCCTGCAAATTCCACACTCGGGCTTACAATAAAAACTCGCAACAACGTAGGCTATGGTAGTTCATAGGATCCCAGCCCTTTCGCCACAATTGCAACAACAAGAACAGCAGCAGAATCGAGCAATGCGCCGCAGCTTGCTTTTTGGGGCCCGAGTACCCTTGCTTTAAAGGCTGGACATGCTGCACATCCGCACGGTGTCGGGTGAAGGACTCGCTGCTCTTGATTTGGCGAGCTTTCACGAGACGCTTCCTGCAGGCCTGTATCCAGTACGGGCATTGAAGCAGCACTTACACAGCATACTTGGGCTGTCACGGTTCAGGCAAAAGCTGGTTCATTTGGGTGATGATGCGGTTCTAGATGACGACTGCACCTTGAGAACCGGTGAAGTTCAGGTCGTTCTTCTAAGTTTTTGCCCAGCATCGAACGCGCAATTGACAGCGCTTCGGGATGCCGCAAGAAGCGGCCTGACATCCGAAGTGGAAAATCTTCTCCAAAGGCCACAAGACCCTGACGCAGTATGCTTTGGTCATCCAACCCCACTGTTGGTGGCATCCGAGCACGGCCACGTCGAGGTGACGCGCCTTTTGTTGGAGGCCGGTGCAGACAAGGACAAGGCCAATCAGAATGGCACCACCCCGTTGTACATCGCAGCTAAGGAAGGACAGTGGGAGATTGTACGGCTTCTGCTGGAGGCCAATGCAGACATGGACAAGGCCAATGAGAATGGCGCCACCCCTTTGTACAGCGCAGCTGGGAAAGGACAGTCGGAGATAGTACGGCTGTTGCTGGAGGCCAATGCAGACATCGACAAGGCCGATCAGAAAGGTGCAACTCCTTTGTACAGCGCAGCTGGGAAAGGAAAGTCGGAGATAGTACGGCTTTTGCTTGAGGCGAATGCAGACATGGACAAGGCCGATCTGAAGGGGGCTACCCCTTTGTGCAGCGCAGCTGGGAAAGGACAGTCGGAGATAGTACGGCTTTTGCTGGAGGGCAATGCAGACATGGACAAGGCCGATCTGAAGGGGGCTACCCCTTTGTGCAGCGCAGCTGGGAAAGGACAGTCGGAGATAGTACGGCTTTTGTTGGAGGCCAATGCAGACAAGGACAAGGCCCATCAGAATGGCGCCACCCCTTTGTTCATCGCAGCTCAAAAAGGGCAGTCGGAGATAGTGCGGCTTTTGCTGGAGGCCAATGCAGACATGGACAAGGCCGATCTGAAGGGGGCTACCCCTTTGCTCGCCGCAGCTTACAATGGACAGTTGGAGGTTGCTCGGCTTTTGGTGGAAGCCAATGCAGACAAGGACAAGGCCCATCAGAATGGCGCCACCCCTATGTACTTCGCAGCTGGGAAAGGACAGTCAGAGATTGTACAGCTTTTGCTGGAGGCCAATGCAGACATGGACAAGGCCGATCTGAAGGGGGCTACCCCTTTGTGCAGCGCAGCTGGGAGAGGACAGTCGGAGATAGTACGGCTTTTGCTGGAGGCCAATGCAGACATGGACAAGGCCGATCAGAAAGGTGTCACCCCTTTGCTCGCCGCAGCTTACACTGGACAGTTGGAGGTTGCTCGGCTTTTGGTGGAGGCCAACGCAGACATGGACAAGGCCGATCAGACAGGTACCACCCCTGTGTACAGCGCAGCTGGGAAAGGACTGTCGGAGATAGTACAGCTTTTGCTGGAGGCCAACGCAGACAAGGACAAGGCCAATCAGAATGGCGCCACCCCTTTGTGCAGCGCAGCTGAGAATGGGGATTTGGAGGTTGTACGGCTTTTGCAGGAGTCCAATCAGGATCAAAGCTATCCATCACGGTGGAGCTAAACTGCTGTAAAACCCGTGTCAAGGCCTTATAGGGACATTCTTCAATTGTACGGAAACCGTACAACAACAAATACACACACAACATACCTGTAAGAAGACTATTGACTCAGTCATGACAAACCACATCACCATCATCATAAAATAACGCAAGCCGTGTAATCTGAAGCCCTTCCCTGGATCATGTCAGAGATATCTTCTTTATTGTGGGTACAGCGAGGTCCTCATTCGATAAGTTTTGGGGGCGGGGATGGAGCAACTTAAACTCAACGAGGGTCGGGGACAAAAGATGCAAATAGACCTGTCGGCACAATTCGTGCTCTTCTGTGCAAAGACATATGTGAATGCCAATCTTATACATGAGGCAGAAGTACCCACAATTATACTTGTTTTTGATTTTACGTTTGTGGCCGGCAAAAGATGCGGCTTTGATTGCGCACGTGTTGCAAATGCATTGTCAGTCATAAGCCCCATGTCCCCAACTGCTCATCCCATCCGTGCTTTTTTTCGGTGTGCCGGAATGTAAACGGGCATCCACACCAGACCTCCCAAAACTGAATCGCTGAACCCGTAAGTGTCCGCAACGCGAGCGTCCTTTCGAAGAGAGTACTTCCGAGACTGTTCCTGCAAGGTCATCCTAGCAAAATCTAGGAAAGTTATTGCGGGTACAATTTGAATTTAGACTCGAGCGCATGAGCAAGGGTGTTAGAGGGTATATTGTTTCGATCCAGGATTGTAGGGTTTAGGTTCTTTGGCCCAGTGGAGTGAGGAAACCTGTTCCCTGAAGCAGATGACCTCCAATACATATTACACCATACGTGGTGAATAGGGACGGAGTATGACGGAGTTGTGTTTGGTGGTCCATCAAGAAACCCTATAAACCCTAAACCTCAAACACTAAACCCTACAGTTTCCCTCATGTTTGGCTCTTAACCGGGTGCGGCGTTTAGGCTTTAAGGCATAGGGTGTGGTGGTTTAGGGTTTAGGGTTTAGGGGGTGGTTTAGGGTTTAGGGTTTAGGGGGTTTAGGTTTAGGGTTTAGGGGGTGTGGTGGTGCTTCCCCACTGTGATGCTTGTGGCAAGGCTCCGACAAAGCAGTTTTGCTTCTCCAGAAGAGGCCGTGGGCAGCGTCATCTTTAATGCTGAAAATCTTGCTGATCTAAGGCCGGAGCCGTAAACCCAAAAGGCTGGGCCACACAGAACCCAGCTCCCTATCCTGCGCCCGAGTGTCTTTTTGCAGATAGGTAAGATGCAGCTCACTTAGTGATAGTGCTGTATAGGTTCGCGGCTGTCTCACGGCTTTAAGATTCGCAGATGATCAGGGTCCCTTTTGGGCTCCTTTTTCTAAGGGTGCCGTACTATATTGGGGACCTGAGAAGGGACCCTAATTTAGAGAACTACCCATATACCGAACCCTAAACCCGAAGCCCCTAAACAAAGGTCTGGGCCTTCTTAGTCGAGTTTAGGGTTCCAGGGTTTAGGGTTTAGGGTTTAGGGTTTAGGGTTTAGAGTTTAGGGTTTAGGGTTTAGGGTTTAGGGTTTAGGGTTTAGGGTTTAGGGTTTGAGAATACTTCGGTGAAGCCAGGTGATCCTCAGCCAATATCTGCACTACTGCGGACTGTTGAGGAAGGGCCATAGCATGCACTGTTGGGTCCTGAGGTGGTGATGACAATAGTGCTACCCTAAACCCTAAACCCTAAACCCTAAACCAAGAAAACCTATCAGGCTCAGGGCCAGGGTGCTCAGCCCAACAACACGAAGCCCCCTGATCCCTACTCCCATCGCCCCTTAAAGAAATCTTTGAGTACAGCTGAAGCACTTCACAGTTATATGTTTCAATTCCACGCGCCAGCGGGCCATGTACACCAAGGGCTCCTGTAAAGGTGCCCCAAAGGAAACCTTGGAGGTGGCCCTAAGAGAACCCATGAGGACTCCCTTACGGTACCCGGTACACCGAAAGAATCCCCTCAATGGTTCTAGGGTTTACCAAAAACTGCTAGAAGGCTCCATGTACCAAGAGAGTGTACGTAGGTCTTAGTATATGGGTAGTTTTCTAAATTAGGGTCCCTTTTAGGGTCCATATTATAAGGGTGCCGTACTATATTGGGGACCCAAACAGGGACCCTAGTTTAGAGAACTACCCATATGATGTACTGGTCACCTTCGACCACTTAGGAAACTGCTTCGAGCTCTCAAAAGGCGGATTAGGGCTTCCTTGAGCTTATGCCTATAGGTTTAGGGTTTAGGTATAGGGCTTACATGTGGGCTTGAAGGAACTATTTCCTAGATGAAAGTCTGCCCCTAAGGGTCCATGTGCCCAAATAGTCTATACTTTGGCCGCAAAGTACCTATATAGGGACTACTTTAAGGCCAAAGTATATACTGTTTGGGTAAATGGGCACATTAGGGTGCCATATAGGTCTGATGTCATAACTTTTGTTTTTTAGCGTTTGGTTTTGGGATTGTGAGGTGTTGGAGGTCAAACCCTAAACCCTGAACAAAGCGTGTTGCTAGGACAGCTGTGCTTTGTTGGTAAAAGCAGACATCCCCTGTCATAAACCCCTATAAAGCCCCGATAGTCCCTAAACCCTAAACCCGTAGACCCCAGAACCCTAAGCCCTATCTGTATTGCTTGTTTGAGCTACCGATGCGATTCGCCCGGCCATTGCAAGTCTTCAAACGTAGTGATTTCTTGGCACCACGATTGCTGCGGAGCAGATCTGGCCATTCAGACACTGGGCCAGGATACAGGTTCAAGATTAAATATGGGGGCCTAATAAGCAGAATAGGGTTTGGGGTATATTATACTAAAGATATAATAAGGAACCCCCAAAAAACCTATTCTAATTATTAAGGCCCTGTAGGGTTTAGGGTTACTGTAGGATGTAGGGTTGGGGTTTAGGGTTTTTTTGGGTTTAGGTTTAGGGTTTTAGGGAGAGGCAGCCAGACAAATCAGTCAAGGGGTTGGCAGGGCTCTAGGTTTTGCGGCCCAAAGGGTCCCTTTAAGGGTTCCCTTTAAGGATCCCTTTAAGAGTTCCTTCAAGAGTTCCTTTAAGGGGCACTTTCATGGTTTAGGGTTTAAGGGTATAAGGGTCCCTGTACCCAAAGAGTGTGTACTTTGGCCCCCGAGTGCCTAAGGCTGAAGGAATTTTGGCCCCCAAGTACCTAGATAGGGACTTCTTTGAGGCCGAAGGAATTATTCACTATTCGGGTTTAGGCTGGTGCGTAACAAGCCGGCCTGGGAAGCTTAGCCCGAACCCCAAACCCCAAGCCTAAACCCTACCTAGAGGCTCATACCTTACCCCTTTCGTATGGTACCTGCTTTTCTATATAAGAGACCCTGACTAAAGAGCTAGGTATCCTGAAAAAGGGGTGGGGTATGAGCCTGTAGGTGGGGGTTTTCATCATGGTCCTGAGATTTAGGGCTTACGACCTGGATCCAGAAGAATGTACTAAACCCTAAGCCCTAAGCCCTAAACCCTAAACCCCGAAACCCTAAATGAGCCTCTTCAAGGACATATCACAAGAAGGGGAAATCCTAGTAAGGAGCCTTGAAAGATCGGCTCTTCTGGGTCCATAGGTAGAGGGCTTTGGGCTAACACAATAAAAGAAATGGCTTAATATAAGGAGCCTGAGTAATTAGAATAGGCCTTAGTAAGTAGAATGGGGTTTGGGGTACATTATTCTGTACTGATACTAAGGAAGGAACTCCCAGAAACCCTATTTTCATTGTCAAAGCCCCCTACAGTACGTTGACAAGGCAGGGTTATCTGTATAGGAAAGAACCTGTGCTGAGGAGCACCCACAGGTTCACGCGGTTTTTGTTAGGATTCAGCTGAGCTCTCGTGTTAATATTTTTGTTATCGGGTTCACAGGGATGAAGATAGGATGCTTGCCCGAGCTCGAGACAGCAGCCTTGTTTTTGTAGTTAGGGTTTTCGGTATTGTGTAGTAAGTGACCCTAAACCCAAAACTGTTTCGGGCGGCTTACCGTCAAGTCTGCCTGTTATTGTATTCTGCCCGCGCGTTCTAGAGGCGGCCGCTCTATGTCGAATAGGCTGACCCGGCGGACCTACATTGGATAATGAACCCAGCCTTCAATGCACCCTAAACCCTAAACCCTAAACCCTAAAACCATAAACCCTAAACCCTAAAACCCTAAACCCTAGAGCCCTACACCCTAAACCCTAAACTTTACGAACTCCGAATCCGAATCCTTCAGTCGAACAATCCCGAAGCCCGATGCCGATATGGGAAGGATCCGGGGCCTAGCATGAAGATTGTAATATAGCGGCCTTCATAAGTACTTATACTATCCTGGAGGGCTCCTGATTCCACAATTACAATATAATGGGCCCCAAAACCCTATTCTAATCATTCAGGAATACCTATACTATTTCGGAGGGATTCTTTATTACAGTTGTAGTATAGTGGGCCCCAAAACCCTATTCTAATCGTTAAGGCCCCTACACTAGGTTTGGTGGAACCTGCTTATTTACTGTGTTCGCAGTCAAATCCTAAAAGATAAAAACGACACTATAAAGTGCACATAGTACACAAACTAGAATTGAATAGAATATATATATATATATATACTACAAAACATTGTAATACTGTATAGCAGGTTATAGCGGAATAGAATAGAATCGAATAGACTGGAGCAGTATAGAACATAATGCAGTACTGTTATAATATGGTATGACTAATAAGGTATAATATGGCGCAATGTAACTCAATATGGTACACCATAGTATGAGATCATACAGTCTACAATATGTATATATATATATATACATATATTAAGCCCTATCTTATATATATACACATGTTACTATTCAACAAAACTTAAAATCATATATTAACTATATGTCATATCTTACATAACATGTAGTCTATGAAGATTATTATGGTCTATATAACATATACCATGTGGCATAAACCGTTACTTTAGACTATGTCGCGTATGTAGCTGTGCTGTGTGTATATATATATAATTATATATCTA